ATAATAATAATAATAATAATAATAATAATAATAATAATAATCCATTTTTGTACTCCTACGAGTAAATGGTATGTGGCATAGAAGCTTGCTATGTGCATGGATCTCTTTGGCTGGACCAGGATGCTTTCTCTAAAAATGTGAGTTTTCTTCCTATCACCTCTTCTCTCCCAGCACAATCCAGCTGACCTATGTTTTATAGACTCCTTGTGATCATCATGTCATATTTTTAACCTCTCTCTTTTGTCATCCCTTGGTTATTCCACCACCCAAGCTTGTGTAATTTCCAGTTCACTCAACATTTTTTATTTCTCTATCACATTTCAACTTCACTTGTAAAACCCGACAAATCTGTGTATTTATTTACTTATTTAAAATCCACAGGGAAGCATACAAGTAGGGTTTTCCGACATTTAGGATGGGCACCTTCTTTTCCAATCTTCAGAACAAAGGTGAGGCTTCCAAGGACAAAAGCACAGTCTTGAAAGGTGTGTAAATATATATTTTCCTCATTTGTTAATATCTTATGTTTTTTTAACCTGACTTTTTTTTTTAACTGAATGGCATACTATGTAAAACTGTGGTCAATGCTAAGGCTTTATGCTTAATGACATTACCAGGACCCACCTACTGTGAAATCACAAGGGGTTATTCCTAGATCTCAGGTTTTTGCCCTGAAATCTCAGGGCCTGCAGTAGTCCTAACCTGGCAACCTTATATACAGCTTGCAAATTTATCAACTTACATTTCTAGGAATAAATTGTGCATGTAAATTGTGGATCATGAATTGGGTTATTGATGCAATAAAAACATACTGTATATAGTCATGTATAAGCCTAGAAATTTTAGTAAATTTAATGACCCCAAAAAATCTCAGCCAACTTATCCATGGGTCAATGTAAATATGGTGCTGTAACTCCTTATTTTTTTTAAAGGAACCATTCCTTGATGAAAGTCAAGAGTATAATTCCAGTCACCTGCTGGAATTTTGTAAGTCCTTTGGCATTGTTTTCATTTGCTTCATCCTTTAGATTCTTTGTTACATGCCCCTAGGTTTTACCCTTGATTTATACATGAGTCATATAAAAATCCATAATTTTGGCCCCAAAACCTGCCCTTGATTTATACACAAGATTAACTTATAGTCAAGTATGTATGGTAGGTATTTGAACACTGAAGAAGCTGAGGGATTCCCTCTGTGTCAAAGAGATGGCAGCAATTTGGCCAAGACCTAAATCTATCTTTGTGTTAAACTTTTTTTTTTTAAGTAGAAATCTTCACAACTCACAACACAGGATGAGGTACCTCCAAATGTAGATGAATTATAACACCCAGTATCACTGGCTAGGCTGCCAAAGGCTGCTGGGAATTAGAATCCAACAATATCTGGAGGGCCACATATTCCTTAGACATGACATAATGTACCTAGATCAGTGGGACGATCTATCTTTTAAATCATTGTTTGAGTGATACCTGTTTGACTGTTCCTTTACTAAGAAAAAAAATGAAGCACCCTTTAAGAATAATGAGATGTGTCAAGTCTTCTTATTTAGTAGAACTGAAGATGAGGATTGATACTTAAGAGTCAGATGTGGTTGAGAAAAGATAAAGTCTGATATAAGGGACTGATAGGATCCCGTCAATCTCAGCTCCAGATACTGCAGTAAATTGAGTGTTCTTTCAGATAACCTTGGTTATGCTCTGTGATAAATTTCTTACGTTTTCATTGCCTGTGGTTCTCCTCTGTGCATAACTTGATTCTATCGCTTCATTTTATCCACAACCTTTGTGAACATGCAACTGCAGAAGCTTTATTTGTGGCACCTGGGCTCTAGGAATTACACGAAAGGCACTTCAAGCCATTCCTGGCAAACAATTTTTAGTGCAATAAACTTATATATTCTACATGGTCTGATTATGCATCACCAGCCTGTAGTCAACGTCAATCCAGAAATGGTTGAGACCTCAAAGGAAGGCCCCACCAGTATTTCCTATGGAGGTCAAGGAATATAGCAAAATCTAATACTGTAACTCCATCCTGAAAGGTCCACTTCTCAGGATCAAACACATCTTAACTTGTCCAATAACTTTAGCCTCTCCAAATTCACCACCAGGGGCAAGGGCAGAAGTGGGTCACAGCAAAGGCCTAGTGTAATGTCTGCATGGCAGTATGAGGTCTTGAACTCTATTTTTGATGCAAGAACCCAAATTAATGTGATCCTTGCTAATATTTAGTTGGAATCTCCTTTCTTGTAATTTAAATCATTGGTTCTGGTCTTATAATCTGGATCAGCAGAAAAGAAGCTCACTTCTACATGACTGCCATTTATATATTTGAAAATGGTAATCATTTCCCAGTCTTCTCTTCTGCAAGTTAACCAAGCTCTGATCCCTCAACTATTCCTCACAAGGTGTGTTTTCTAAAACGTTTACCCAGTTTATTCACTCTCCAGTGGACCCATTTCAGTTTGTTAATATACCTCATAAACTGTAAAATTGACCACAGCACTTGGGATAAGCTCTGACCAAAGCAATGATAATACATGAATTCTAGACACCTTGGTCATACTGCCTGGCCGATACTGTGGAGCTATAGTCCCCAAAGTAATTTTTCTAGTTCTGTTTCTAGGATGTTGTTTGGATTTGTGATTTTCAAGTCATGTCAAACTACATTAAAGTCAGCACATTGGTTTGTAACAGAGTTTCTTCCTGTAAACAGGAACAGACTGTCTAGTGCTGCTGCTGATTTGTACAATATCACAAAAAGTGCCAGATGGTCCCCAAATGAAAACCGAGATGTCTGAACTATAGCTACCATCATATTCCTGCCAAATGATTCAGTTTTGATGTCTGGCATAATGGCCAACACAAATCTAACCATGAGTTCTGCATATACGTTGTTATGATTTGATTTTTTTAAAAAAAATTATTGTCAACTTTAACCTTTTTTCCATTATAAATAAAAGTGGCACAGTATCCAACAATTTCTGCTCTTATCACTAGAACTGAGGAAGGAATAGCAGCAAATTTGCAAGGCAGGAGAATTGAATTCTTTCTACAATGACAATGACAACAATGATGATGATTCATTTATATTCTAAATAATGGGACTCAAGGCAGATTGTTCCCAGCTTCTGCCGATCTAGCAGTTTGAAAGCATGCAAATGTAAGTAGATAATAGGTATCACTTTGGTGGGAAGGTAACAGCATTCGGTGCAGTCATGCTGGCCACATGATCACCAGAGCAGTCCTTGGACAACACTGGCTCTTTGGCTTACTAATGGAGATGAACACCGCCTCCTACAGTTGTTTACGACTAAACATTCACGTCAGGGGGCTACCTTTACATGAAGTTGTAGGCTTTCATGGCCAGCATCCATAGTTTTTGTGGGTTTTTGGGCTGTGTGGCCATATTCTAGAAGAGTTTCTTTCTGACGTTTCGCCAGCATCTGTGGCTGGCATCTTCAGAGAATCTTCTCAATAGGTCACAGACCCATGCTACACTGTTTAACATGAAAAACTACCTGTTTTCAAAGCCAGGAGTGGACTTTGGGCTCCTTCTAGTTTTGTTATGTTTTTTGGCATTATTGTTAGTGTTCCTGTCCCCCAGAGGGTCCCACAAGTAAAATGGTCCTCAAGCCTGCCAGAGTTTTCAACCCCTGCTTTAAAAAGAAACCCTGGGCTAGGTAAGGCATTCCTTCCTATGACCTTGTGACATTACCATCTCTGACATCTCTCTTCTAGTGCGATGCCCACATCATAAGTGGCAGTGGCACAGACCCCTTGGAATTGTTTTTTAAGAAGGGAGGACTCAAGTCTGGCAGGCAGGTTATTATGCATTTTTCATATTTGTATATATGTTTTTGAGTCAGCATGGTGCAGTGGTTTGAGTGTTGGGCTACAATTCCATAAGTCCAGGGTTCAAATCCCTGATCAACCATGGAAACTCACTGAGTGCCCTTGGACAAGTCACTCCCAGCCTCAGAGGACTGCAATGGCAATCCCCTTTGAACAAATCTCACCAAGAAAGCCCCATGCCAGGGCTGCAATAAGTTGGAAATGACATGTAGGTACACAACAACAGCAACAAAAGTAGTTAGCAAGGTGGCTACCATGAATAATGAATGGAACATCATAAAAGTGGTTAAAGCATAAAATTAATAAAGCCATGTATTGTTCTAGGAAAGGGGAAATATAGAAAACCCTACAACTACACAGGAAGCTTGGTGGTTCTGATCCCACCAAACAGTGTAGCATGGGTCTGTGACCTATTGAGAAGGAAACTTCCCTCTGATGCAATCTATTCCACTGTTGAACAGCTCCTGTCATATAAAGATTCTTTGTAATGTTTAGGTAGAATCTCTTTTCTTGTAATTTGAATCCATAGGTTCATGTTCTAGTCTCTGGAGCAGTGGAAAACAAGCTTGCTCTATCTTCTATATGATGTTCATTCAGATATTTAAAAATAGGTATTCTGTCATCTCTGTTTTCTCATCTCCAAGCTAAACATGCCCAGCTACCTAAGTCATTCCTCATAGGGCTTTGTTTCTGGACTTTTGATCCTCTTGGTCACCCTCCTTTAGAGATTTTCCACCTTGTTGATATGCTTTTTGAACTGTGTTGCTCAGAAGTGAACACAGTATTCCAAGTGAGGCTGTTCCATCACATTGTTTACTCATGGTCTACTAAGATACGTAGATCCTTTTCACATGTACTGCTTTCAAGGCAGGTTTCACCCATCCTATATTTGGCATTTCACCTCCTCCCCCACCCGATGTAGTATCTTACATTTATCCCTGTTGAAATGTGTTTTGTTAATTTTGGCCCAGATCTCCGATCTGTCAAGGTCATTTTGAATTCTGCTTCTATCCTGTGGGATATCAGTTGCCCCCTCCCTTGATGTCGTCTGAAAAATTCATAAACATGTCTTCTATTTTCTCATCTAAGTCATTATTTTAAAAAAATTATACAACATCAGGGCAAGTATGGAACTCTGTGGCACCCCAGTAGTCACTTCCCTCCAGGATGAAGAGCAACCATTGGTGAGCACCCTCTGTCAACCATTTATTCATCCACCTAACTGTAACACTATATAGCCAGCTTTCCTACAAGAATATCATCGTGTTCTTGTCAAATGCCTTACTGAATTCAAGATATACTACATCCACAGCGCTCCCCTGATGTACCAAGTTCGAAACTCTATCAAAAGAAGAGATAAGATTAGTTTAGCAGGACTTGTTTTTGAGAAGCCTGTGCTGACTCACAACATTTCTTTCCAAGTGTGTACAGACTAAATGTTTAATTATATGTTCTAGAACCAATTCTAGTATTGATTCAAACTGACTGATTAGTATTTGCTTGGGTCCTCTTTTTTTGTCTTCTTTGAAGATGGGAAAAACATTTGGCCTCTTCTAATCTGCTGGGATCGCTCTTGTCCTGAAAGACATTTCACAGATTGCTGACAATGGTTTGAGCTTACATCTGTAAGTTCCATTCATACTCTTGGATGCAGTTCATTTAGCTCTGGAGGCTTGAACTCATTTAGAGTGGCTAGTTATTCCTTTACTACCTCTTCACCTATCCTGTGTTGTAGTCCTCTTACTGGATGATTTACTCTATTTTCACCAGTAAGAGCACTATTTTCCTTAGCAGAGAAAATTGAGGCAAGTAAGGTATGTATGATGGGTGAGCTCCTGTCACTAGTCCCAGATTCTGCCAACCAAACAGTTCGAAAGCATGCTAATACAAGTAGATAAATAAGTACCACTTCAGTGCAAAGGTAAACAGCATTCTGTGCAATCATGCTGGCCACATGATCAAAGAGTAGTCTCTGACAACGCTGGCTCTTTGGCTTAGTAACGGGGATGAGCACTACTCCCTGTGGTCAGACACGACTTGACAATCTTGTCAACAGGGAATACCTTTACCTATAAGGTATTAAACAGTTTGGTCCTCTCTTTGCTCCTGTTAATATTTCATTATCTTCCCTGTATAGCAGCCCTGTCATTTCCCTTGTTTTTCCTCTTGCTCAAAACGCAATTCCCACTCCCCAAAAACTAATATTATTTCTATTCCCTCTAGTAAGCCTAAGATCATTTTGAGCTTATGCTTTTCTGACTTTCCCCCTACAAGTACTGGCTACTTGTTTGGATTGTTTATTTTTGGTTCCCCCCCTTTTGCATCTCTTATACAGTTTTTTTTTTAAAAAAATGTAACTCATCTGAAAGTCCATTGCATATCCATCCTGGGTTTTTTAGACATGTTCCACTTTCCTTCCTCATGGGACATGTTTGCTATTGTGCCTTCAATATCTCATCTTTAAGAAACTCCAAATTATCATGAACTTCCTTCCCTTTGAGCATTTCTGACCATGGGATCCCACTCAGTATTTCTCTAAGCTTACTAAAATCAGCTTTCTTGAAGTACAAAGTGTGTGTCTGACTATGTTTGGCTTCCTTTTCCTCACTTGCC